AGCCAGCTGGAAAGAAGGGAAGCCAGGCAGAGGTGCTAAACATCACTTCCGCTAACATTTACTGGCAAGAACATCACCACAGAACCACACTTAGCTCCAGGAGGCTAGGGAATGTGTTCTAAACATTCGCCCAAGACGAAGGGGAGGATGATTGGGGGACCTGCTGGCCGTCTCCATCCCACCAACTGTCATGGTGTGGTTGTCAGCTTCTTGGTCTCTAGTCTCTGTTCTGTAACTGGGGTTTTAATTTCATCATGTGTTTACGATATTATTCAGTTTAACGAATCCCCACATTTATATCATGTTGACTTGGCTCTGTGACTAAAAGAGTTTTAACATGGTTCTCCCAACGGGACTGACTTAAACAACACGTCCTAACATTTCAAAGTGAAAATGAAAAATTCCAACCTGAAATTTCTTAAAAATGGAGAAGTGAGCCTCCCAAGATAAAACAACTGATCATTTTTTTGAGCAGTGTGCAATTTCTACATTCCTCCTTTTTCCTCAGCATTCCAGTGCAGGATAAGATGTCAAATGTGAGCCTCTGATACGAGGCTCTAATTCAGCAACACCACTCATAAAAATTATAGTTATTTGGGCTTCCCTGGTGGCGCAGTGGTTCAGAGTCCGCCTGCCAATGCAGGGGACACGGGTTCGTGCCCCGGTCCGGGAGGATCCCACGTGCCGTGGAGCGGCTGGGCCCGTGAGTCATGGCCGCTGAGCCTGTGCGTCCGGAGCCTGTGCTCCGCAGCGGGAGAGGCCACAACAGTGAGAGGCCCGCGTACCGCAAAAAAAAAAAAAATTATAGTTATTTGACTAAAAAGACCCCCCAGACAACTACAGGAAGAAAACCTCCAGTTGAACTAATATGAAACCCATCTGCTAATTGGCGGTGGGGGTGGGAATAAAGTTTCTAAATTATAAAAAAGACCCCCCAAATCACTATTTTTGTTTTCATAGTTTGTATATTATTTTTAATAATAAAAAATGTAAAATAAAAGATTTTTAATCTATTTTGCTATTATTTTGTTACTAATAAAATGGATTTAACTCTTCTAATTATTGTGAGGAGGGGTTGAGGGAGGTTCTGTTGTAAAGCAAAAAAAAATTACAATTCAAGTTTTGATTATTTTACATAGCAGTGAATTAATCTGTGAGATTAATGTTTGCTACTTACTTCAGTCCAAATGTACCTTATAAGTCCTGGTTAGTATTTCTTTGATCCTCAAAAATTTGTAAATATATATCATTAAATTTAATTTTACGTTAACTTCATAGAAGAAAAAGAAACTGATATAAAACTGAAGGTTTTGAGGACCTCCCTGGTGGCACAGTGGTTAAGAATCCGCCTGCCAATGCAGGGGACACGGGTTCGAGCCCTGATCCGGGGAGATGCCACATGCTGTGGAGCAACTAAACCCGTGCGCCACAACTACTGAGCCGGCGCTCTAGAGCCCGCAAGCCACAACTACTGAAGCCCACGCACCACAACTACTGAAGGCTGCGCGCCTAGAGCCCGTGCTCCGCAACAAGAGAAGCCACCGCAATGAGAAGCCCGCGCACCGCAACGAAGAGTAGCCCCCGCTTACCACAACTAGAGAAAGCCCGCACGCAGCAATAAAGACCCAACATAGCCAAAAATAAATAAATTTTTAAAAAATAATAAAAAAATAAAACTGAAGGTTTTAGTAAACTTTAGGTAACTGTTACTTTCCAAGAAGAAATATTAATTCCTAAGACCCTCTAGAGTTTAAAAACATATGAAGCACCTTAAAAGCTTGGAGGTCATTATGATTTGTTTGCTTCTTCATCGCACGTGTGCTCATTCTCTGAGCTTGGCTGGATGGCACATTTTGGCCTCATTTTCCTTTTACGGCTTTACTCTTGAAGTGTGGGCACTAACCGTCGTCTTCTCCTTCCCTTTCTGAATAATTCAGCCAAAGCTTTCTGGTGGAGCAAAGGAGGGGAGACAACTGTGTGTCCAGTGGGAGGTGACACTGTAGCCCAGAGTTGGGGGGCGGTCACAGCCCAAAGGGGGTGAGGACGGTGTCTTTATGGGGAGACCATCCAAGATGAGGAGTCAGGGTCCAAGCAGAGCGGAGCAGGGGTCCCCACAGGGAGCAACCCAGTGGGGGGAGTCAGAACCTGATCAGGTGGGGGGGGTCCACAAAGACAGGCAGATACACTAGTGTTATCGGAGTCCACGCGGGGGGAGGGGGCTGACACCTAGTGCTGGTGGCAAGGTTGTCAAAGCTCACACAAGGGGAGGAGGTCATTCCCAAGGGCAACGACTTGGGATGGGGATGCAGCACCCAAGCAGGGTCAGAAGGACATCCATGGGGGCGGGGGGGTGACCTGGTAAGAGCTGTCAGAGCCTGATCAGGCGAGGGGGCCATTCCCTCGGAGTCTGGGGGTGGGCTCAGAACAGGGATTCAGAGCCTGAGCAGGCAGAATAGGGTACCTGTGTGGGGAAGGGGATGGCGGCAGAGATGAGAGACTGGTAACATACAGGGGGACTGATCAAATGTAAACAGACAAGGGCTAACGAAGCCGATTTCCCACCATCAGGGAAGAGAGTTACCAACACATACAGAAAAGGAAAAAAACTAGAGTTCAATCCTGTGGTGCTCAGGTGGAACTGGGATGTTGGGATGTATCAGTGTGAACTCATGGTTTCCAATATGTATAGATGGATACAGAAATATAGATATAAAGGGTGTGTGTGTGTGTGTGTGTGTGTGTGTGTGTGTGTGTACATGCATGTATTCCTTACCTCTGTCCCTAGCTCTGTTCATTGGGGGAGCCTAGGAGTAGTGCCACCCCAATAGCAATGAGCATATCTTGGCATCAAAACACTATTTCCCTCTGAAGGAACCCGGACTCTTTGGATTAATGGCTGATTCCAGGGCTGGGACAGAGAAAGTGCAAGATGAGCCTGGAAAAATCTCCTTATGCTCCCAAAGCAAAGAAGTACAGAAAGAATGATGGGGATGTGTCAAAAGGACACAGAAGCCACCTTGAATGGACTCGCGGTGGACAAACAGGAGACAGTTTTAGCACTGAAATAAATGACAGCGCTAGATTATAACCCAGTGAAAAAGATAGAAAATCCTGAGTCTGTACACACAAATAAATGAATAACTTGAAAGTCTGATGTGTAACACGATATTTACTTCTTATCACCAAGTCCTTATTTATTACAAAGAGGGTTAGGGTTAGGGTTATAGTGACTTTAAAGTGGGGGCCCCTGGGAGACACCACCTGGATCAAGGGAGCAAAGTGAACATTGTCAATTCTGTATTTGGAACATCACAGTGGCAGCTACTCTTCCATGGTTTGTGGGGGGGAGTTATTTATATTACACTTCCAATTTTTCTGTAAGTTTATTTCAAAACTATACGATGATAACTGTAGCCAGGCAAAGTCTCCAGCTTAATAACAGGGACAGCCCGGCAGGTAACAGGAATTGCCGCACTCATCACATGGTTGAAATGTTTCCAGCAATGAGCGTAAGCCTAAAAGATAATCCTGTCACATTTCGATAAAGTATTTCACTCCCGGAAAGAGATCAGTTCATCCTTTTCTCTGCAAACTCTGGTACTTAATCTGGAAACCACTCTTGGTCCATGTGCAGCCTTTCAAAGCCCTTTTCAGAGATCATAATTACCTTTCTTAGAGAATATCAGAATGTTCTTAGAGAATTATCAACAACACATATTGGAACCATGAATTGCTTTGGCTTGCCTGGATGGTTCTTCCTTTTGTCAATACTTTCACTTGCTTTCTAATATCTTTTAAATTGTATTTTACTATAACTACATGATTACATGAATTTCCACTTAGCAAAACATAGTCAACCATTTCGTGAAAATCAGAAGATAGCTCTGATCTCTAACGGAAGGGACTTCCCTGGCAGTCCAGTGGCTAAGACTCTGCGCTCCCAATGCAGGGGGCCCAGGTTCGATCCCTAGTCAGGGAACTACATCCCACATGCCGCAACTAAGAGTTTGAATGCTGCAACTAAAGATCCCACACACGGCAACAAAAGTCCTGAGTACCCCCAACATCGAAAACCAAAGTCCACATTTTAGTAATGATCCTTGTTTTGGGTTTTTTTTTTCACAAGTTTATTTAGTTTTGGCTGCACTGGGTTTTCATTGATGCGCGTGGGCTTTCTCTAGTCGTCGCGAGCAGGGGTCACTCTTCATTGCGGTGCGCGGGCCTCTCATTGTGGTGGCTTCTCTTGTTGCGGAGCACGGGCTCTAGGCACGTGGGCTTCAGTAGTTGTGGTGCATGGACTTAGTTGCTCCGCGGCATGTGGGATCTTCCCGGACTAGGGCTCGAACACATTGTCCCCTGCATTGGCAGGCGGATTCTTAACCACTGCACCACCAGGGAATTCCCCAGTAATGATCTTTTAAGAGAAAGACGCATCTGGTGGCAAAACATCTTATAAAATGACAACTCACATGCAGGAACCCAGAGCATCATGGTGAAATAATTATGGCTAGTACTGATTATAAATCTTGGGAGAGTATTCATGAGTTCTGAGTATGGAGACCCCACCCGGATGCCCACTAGACTTTTTAAAGGGATCTGTGGTCAGACAGCTTTAGGAAATTCCCGTCCAGGACCAAGACTGCTCCCCCACACTCCTGGCATGACCTTGCCCCCCATCTTGTGTGGCACCTGCCCACTCCTCCGGGAGCTGCAAGTCTGGGGAAGGACCTCAGTTTCACAGTGACACCAGTTTATGAAACTCTAGCTGAGACCACTGCCAAGAAGTGCTTGCTCACCCTCCTTCAACGGCAGGGGGAATCTCCCTCCCCTTTTCAGGGGGACGCTGAAGAAAGGATTCATACACGAACCCCAATCTTCTCACCAACCCCGGCCCACACCTCCCAGCAACTGAACTTGAAAAAAAAAAAGCTGGTTAAAACCACTTCCTATATTTGAGACTAGAGAAGAGAGTGGTAGGCACGATTTCCTGACTGAACAAACCAGGCTAATACTTCTATAGAGTAAGTGCTGACTGTCCTAGAGACGGATGGACCAGCGAGGATGACAACCTGGGCGGATTGATCCTTCCCCAGCCTCCCAGTGCGATGCCAGCAAGAGGCTGAAAGGAAACCCAGCATTCTGCAGAGAAGTACCTTTTCTTCCTGGCCCTCACATCGGCAGCTGATCCCAGGGGCCCGGAGGATGGAGCCAGGCTTGCTGATGTGGGGATTCTTTGTATTCATCGTTGTACCTGGCTGCGTGACAGGTAAGGGGTCACTGGTGTCCTCGGAGTCCTGGGAAGGCTAAGGATGTCGACTCTCCCCAGCCACAGAATCCGAGAGGCACCTAAGTAGAAAGTACGGGGAAGGGGGTTGAATCCTGGGTTCTACCCCTATGTCCACAGCCCACCGGGGGCCCGTTTTATGCCTCAATTATCGCCGACCTATAAAGAGAACTTGGAACGGTGGGCTCTCTGTCGCTCAAAGTCTTTGACGGCTGATTCTGGGAAGAATAGGGTGATGTGATATTTGAATGTTAGCATACTAATGAGCAGAGTCCTCAAGAACTTGGATTTTCCACTGAATTCAGTTTTCCACTGCACCCACAAAGCTGTAAGATAATACTAAGAATCCACTAGGAGTCTAAGACCAGGTGAATGTCTGGCAGACATTACTAACTCACATATGAAACATTGGGATCATTTAAGATCTCAGAAGAGTTAAGCCTCAAGGATGTATACTTTGTTTTTTACTGTCTCGGGAAATAATACCTAGGAAGTTTCTTATATGTGTAACTTTATAGAAGTTTTAAAAAAATAAGCATATCACTTTCAGAACATTAATTCTTATGTTCTTATGTGTATATATGCATGTATGTATGTGTGTGGATATATACATATATATATATATGAAAGTTTTGAATTCCTTTCATCCTTTCAAAAGGGTTTGTCAGTTTTTTTTTTAAGCAATAAGAAACCACCAACTTCTACCTCAAACCTCCTTCTTAATTGAGTGTGAACTTTCTAATAACATCTTCCCTTGCTTATGCAGGAAAACAGGTAAGATATCAGAGTCTATGATATTATATCCTTCGTTTCTAGATATATAATGATGCTAAGTGGCCACAGAAAGATATGTTAAGAAGTGAAACAGGATGATGCATAAGGAGTCTTTTTTGCTTGTTTAGGAGAAATGACCAAGTCACTGGGCTGTGAACTGACCCAGGTGTAGGATCTTCTTTACTTTAAAGTGAAAAGTGGGTGTGATTTTAGGAAGGCTCATAATGAGATTTCTACCTCCACAGGGTCTTTGCAAAGTGGGAGGTCCAGCCAGGCCAGAACAGAAAAGTCTTTACAGTTAATCATGCCTCGTCTCTGGGAAACACATTTCAAGTAAACGCGTGTTATTGCCAGCCAATGATGACTTATCTGAAGATTTGAATGGTCCTGCAGCAGCGAGGCCTCCTTCATATACTCGCATCTTCAAAAATCTATCCAATACGTCTTGTGCCCCTTTTCAACACTGTAGGAAATACTAAAATGAACAAGACATAGCCTCACTCCTTAAGAGACATATAACCTAGTAAGAGGAAGAAAGGCATAGCTATAATAACAGCAGTATGGGTGGAATGGGATAAGATCTAGGGGAGCAGGGGTATATCAGGGAAAGCTTCGTGAAAGCAGCAGCAAAAAGTGCCCTGAGGGGGCAGTGAATTTCCCTGAGTGGAGATTCCAGATAGAGAGGCCCACAGGAGCAAAGACACAACACAGCATCAGGGAACAGCCCCCAGCCTTGGACGGGGATGTGGGGTTGCTGGGGATTAAGACTGGAAAGGTAGGATGGCGTCAAATGAATGACCCAAGGCCTTCGTAACAAGTTTAAAAATTTAAACTTCATTTGGGAGTCAATAAAAGACTACTAGAAAGTAAAAATGACCATTTATAGAGTACCTTCTATGTGCCAGACGTATAAGTCTTCTTTTCCTCTTCATAGCCCCTTTGCAAGGTGGATGTCACCAACCCATGAGATGAAGAAGACCTCAAAACTCAGAGGTCACACAGGCAGTGACAGAGCCAGGACTCAAGCCCAGTTTTCTCAGCCATGTGCTCTTTCTGGTCCCTGCAGACAGGGTCCGAGCTCTACAGAGATGATTCCGTAGAGAGAGTAGGTGCACAGACAGGGCGTGAAATGGTCCCATCCAGAGGCAAGTGAGGACTTGGTAGCTAAAGAGAATGATACGGGCTGAGTTTCTGGGATCCACATATGGCTTAGGAACCACTCCAGGGTGAGAAATAATCTCATCTCAGGCTTTTTCCTCCCAGGGGAGCCCAGTCTTCAAATAAACAAATCTTCTTATTCCTCAGAAGGGAGAGGTTGCTAACGAAATCAATCAGGCTGTCAACAGATGCAATTTCTAGCTGATTCATAAGGCAGATTTTCAGTCTGAAAATTTCCAAAGCCACCATTTAAAATTGTGATGGGTGACAGGGGATGTATTAGTCAATGTGAGTGTTTTGAGTCTCTGTATTACTGGGTCCTGGGATGTGGTTGAAAAGAGAGTTCTCCTGATGTTGCCAACAGGCACGTTATTGAAGGTGCCTTTCTCAGCATTGTGGAAATTCTGAGAGTTTATCTATGCCTTGATCATCTTTCTTTCATTCTAGGAATTCTGTGATCAAATCTTCATGCCCTAGACTCAAAAAAAAAAAAAAAAAACACAATGCGGAAACCCATTAAGATGATATTTTTGTCTAATTATCCCTTCTTGTAAAGATGACTGCCCACACTGGAATTTCCATCTTCACATGTATCATTAAAACACAAAATGTTTAACTCTTCATATTTAATCATTCAATTTCTCTAGATCCCAAGGTGTTATTACCACTGTTTCCTTGCTCATCTTTAAGATGTACTTTGGAGAAGATGTATATATATATGGGGCTTTGGTAAACTTAGGAAGTACCTCATGAAACAGTTGCTACTTTCTTTAAAAACAGCATGTCTTAAATAGGCAGTTCTGTTTATCACCCGTACATCTGCTCCTTTTGAGATCTGAGAGAATTAAGGCACCAAAAAGAGTTGACTTCACTGATGGACAGTCAGCTAGAGATGCTATAGAGGACAGCTGATGAGCTCTACAGCTCCTATCCTCAACTTCACTCATCCGAAGAGAAGACTTCTTAGCTTCTTTGGCTAAAGCCCTGAGTAGTCTGGAGGCTTCTGTGTTGTTTCTTGTTGAAGTCATTCCTATCATAGCGACAGTCACCCTTAAGTCAGGCTAGCCCTCAACGTGGTGGTCATTCAAGTTCATTTCCCGCTCCCTTCATTTCCAATGATCAGTAGAAACTGTAAAAATAAACAGAGTTCCTTTGGGAAGGGGGGCCATGTCACCTGAGGTCAGTGGATAGAAGAGTCAGGGATACTGAACTTCGCAGGGAACAGAAAGTGGTCCAAGGCACCTCCGAACGACCATCGTTGGAGGAGGTGAAGGGCGTGATTTTTGGCAAATTTCTATACCTCCCTGGGCCTCAGTTTCTCTGCAAAATGAAAAGGTTGATGGAGCTGATCCTGAGACTGACTTCTAGCTCTATCGCTCTATGTCAAGAATTCTGAACAGGAAATAAAATAAGCTCTGTCGAAAGGCCTTTTCAAGCCGGCGTACTTTTGGATGAAAAAGTTTCCAAACCGAAGACATACACAGCAGGGTCTGGGTTAAGAGACCTTTGCGGGCCCAAGTGCCGAGGCTGACGTATCATTGTAGGTTATTTCCAACTCCTGGAAGGTACCGCGCAGCACTCAGGCGAGGTTGTAAACGTCAAGGCAAAAACACTTCTCACTGCTGGGTGTGGCTCCTGCTATTCGCTTTTCGGGCATTTTTGCCCTCAAATGATTTCCTTGCTTCTCACAGGGGAGGTCTTACATGAGTGGGGACCTCCTTCTCTTTATCCGAGGCCATTCCCTATGAGAAAAGGAAAGAGGACCTTAATTCAATCGATTGTTTCAAAAAGCTATAAGCCCTGCATCCCTGAAAGTGGTCAAGGCTTTCCAGCCACGTCAGGGGAGCCACAGAGGGGCGCGTAGGCTGGCTGGGAAGATGGATGGGGCGGAATTCCAGTTGTTCTCTGCTGTCCTCCAGTCTCTATGTTTTAACTTCCCCTCCTAGAAAGTGAAACTAGGGATGTGTGTCTTTCATACTTTTCAAATGAAAGAGCACCCAGATGGCAAACCAGTAGATTCTTGGCTTTAGGCGAGGACCTTGGCTTTTGTTCATCATCTGATCCCCTGCCCCAGACTTTAGGCGGCAGTGAGAATCAGAAAAGGAAGGAGACTTGAGTGGAAAGGTGACAGAGGCTGGGTGGGGGATGCCGCTGAAAACGTAAAACTTTGGGAACTTCCCTGGTGGTGCAGTGGTTAAGACTCTGCACTTCCAACGCAGGGGTCACAGGTTCGATCCCTGGTCAGGGAACTAAGATCCCACATGCTGCATGGCAAGGCCAAAAAAAAAGGCAAAACTTTGAACTGTGGGTTTATTCGTGTCTGGTGAATGTCCAACAGCCAAACAGAGTGAAGAGTTCCTCTATCCTTTTCCTCTCCATTAACCCCTGGGCTCCCTTTCTCTGCAAGTGTTTAAGCAGAGCCTAAATGAAAATTTGTCAAAAGTGGTGTAGAGATTTCCCAAGCCAGGCAGGAATGGCCTCTGATCCCTTTGGACTTAGAACCTAGGATTCCTTCTCTCCAGGCTAACAATGTGTGTCACCTTGGTACCAGTCATGGCTCACCCAGGGGCCCTCTGAAGCCACTGGGGGTATCTAAACTTCCAGACACTCTCCTCTCTTGTTCTTCATCCAGGCAGGTATCAGGGGAAGAGAGATTGGAGACCCTTAACGAGCTTCCTCATCCCCTCTTTGGCCACCCTTTCTAGTAATTTCTTCAGGGAGTTCTGCTTCAGTGGAGTCAGCCGGTGCCCCAAGTATTATCAAGGGGGCAAAAAAAATGGTCCATAGAACCTCACCACATAAAGACAGACCTCATTTGTCACTCCTATACATACATCCTGAATCTCCCAACAGGAAGAACAAAGTGATAGCAAGACTCCATCTGGCTTAATCTTTCTTGAGTGGTGAGTCCTTGAGCAAATTTGATGAGTGCTGTTAATTGTCTCCTTAGAAAACTGTACATATGCACAAAATTTTGAGGATAATATTTAGGGTTGTAGCCTCCCTATCAACCAGGGTCTCCAGGAAGGACCTCCATTGAGGTTCTTTAA